TCTTTCAGTTAATATTACAAATCTTTCACATACAAAAAGTCGTATTTCATAGTGAAGTATTTACTAATAAAATAAAATAAAGTTTTGTCCATGAATATATTGAGTATTTGTTTTGAATAGTCCATGTGAAAAATAATTTTTATGTTAAAATTAAAAATACTTTTCATCATCTCAAAAATCTCAAATTTCCTTTGTGTAATCCCTAAAACCTCCTAAATGCATTACAAACGTTTTTTCACTAAATCCTTATGGTTTATATGTTATTTTCTCTACCCTATTTCAAAACAAAATTGTTCAATTCGACCTATCTCATAACCACCAAAAAAATCGAAATAAACCTAAATTAATCTCCTCTTCTTTCTAGAATGACTTGAAATTGTAACCTGAAACTACATTATACATCTATTTATAATTAAATTTTATTGTTTTATTGCCCTTTGAAGTGTGTCTAACTACTTGCTATCCAAGCCATTATAAGTTTTAAATCACTTGGGGAACATGCAGCTCACTTTATGCTATCGAATTACATTACCCAAAAGCTACTATGAGTGTAATCTTAACTAACCTAAAAAATTCATTATTTTTACATTTTAGTCATTTTTATAATAATAAATAAAGAATAAACATGAAAAACCAAGAAATAAAGTACTTACCTAATCTTCTTTTTTCTTGCTGTCGATTGTCACTTAATCCTACTTGTTTTTTTATAATAATGGTAGTAATGCACTAAATAATTTTCATTTAATTAAAGAATGCACCAAAGAACAGACTAATGACACACAAAAAGTAGAAATTTTCCTATAACTCTCAAAATATTTCTGGCTTTCTAACTGTGTGACAAGAGCCGTTACAAATTCATCCAAGCTAGTCATTACTTTTTCCACAGGAATGAAAGCTGTACTACAAGTGAAATTGATGCTTATCTGTTCAGTACACAATGTTATACAATAGGTTATTTGATAGATGAAAACCTTGGCTTTCTATTGGTTATAGGTAATATATAATTAAAGGTAAGAGAGGACTATTAACAAATCCTGAAAGAGAGGATGTGACAGGTGTGTGTGGCAGGAAGGGTCTGATTTTCTATTTGATAGCTCTGTAACCAAACAAAATTGAAGGCTATAAAAATCATGGTTTGTCTGAGCTATGATGATTTTATATTGAGTAATTTCATATTTTTTAAAGGGGTGGTGGACAAAAATAGAGAAAAGAAGATGCCTAGAGAAAATGTGTCACACTATGGGAAAGTCAGAATTTTTTATATTGTGTTGTATAATTATGAACTTAAAACATATATATTATTAAAATATGGATAACTAGCTAAGATTTTTTGCTATAGTAATTGGTATAACATAAACAAAAAGTAGTTTAATAAAATTTGAATGTAAGACACAAAAACCTTGTGTTATGCACAGTAAAGGATACCTGTGGCAATTTGTTAATCAGCCTGATATTGCAAAAGTTTTATTTGTAGTTTTCAAAGCCAAAATCTAATCTGGAAAAATATTACAAAGGATGCATACATTTGTAGAAAGCATTCTGTGGACATACATAGCCCAACTTCAGTATAGTTAACTTATTCTTCCATAGTTTGTCTTATTTTTCTTCTTTCATTGGAAAGCCTCAACATTCCAAATACTACTTTAATTCAACTAGTGAACGATCAAATTCAGTAAAAGTCAAGTTAATGCTATTTTGAGCTGGATAATTGTTTGTCTCATCTGATGGTGTTATGGGAGGCAGATCATGACTTTATCAAAATGAAGTCACAAGTATGTCAACCGTAAATGTTACAGTTGCATATTACTAAATCAACTGTGCACTAGATAATTCACAAAATTCTTGCTCTTGTAAAGAAGCATCAGCCATAAGTCCCCTGCAGAAAATTATACCACCTTGCATGGTTGAGAAGAAAGTTTGTTGCAACACTGGACAAAGCTTGGGCATTCATGAATGACTGCTATAAGATACAGGGGACATAACTTTCAATATGATATAGAGATTAAAGGCTTTTATCAAGCTTTTTGGATGCTACTCGTTAATAATTTAAATTTAAACTACACAAAGTGCACAGAATAATAAATATGATCTCTAGCTACTATAAAAAAACATAATGACACCACCTTTTGAGATGAAATTCCTGCACTGTATGGCCAGGACGTTAAGAAGGAATGGATATATCAGGTAACACACTAAAGTCCATGTCAGTGTTTAGAATGAAACCAGTGTTAGTATTGTCCCTTTTCCCAAGATACCTAAGAAATGATCTGACTCTACACCCATGGTCTTGTCAGCCAACATTGACATAAAGTAGAGAGTATTAAGGATAGCCTTTCAAAATGTATTGTCTAAGATTGACCTCACTGTCCTTCATAGAAGCTTGTTACAAAGGAAAGTGTGATGTTGGGTAATAGTGCATAGTCATGGCTAAGAGAACGAGAATGACTGACAATGGACACAGCAGTATCAAAGGCAATACAATAGTGATTAACCCTCTGTACACAGACTACAACTGTTACATTTGGTCTAAAAAAGCATCTTTTATTTTGCATCCTTTTCTTTATGAAAACATATTAGAATGATCTGAAACACTACAAAATTTACTCACCAACAATATCCCAATGCTTACCAATATTTAACAAAAAAAATAATTGGTTTGTATTAATTTCTTTTTCACACAATTTCCATTAGTGAAGTAATTATAATACCTGCTGTGACAGGTTAAATTACATAACTTGTAAGAAGAAATGTCTTTACCTCAGCACAAAGTATTGACAACCTTCCAACATCTACTAAAGAGTCCACAGGCACTTCATGTTGTCCTGGCAACACTTTTAGAGAATGAAGGTATTGAGTCATGGCTGGAATAACCTGAAAAAGCACATCCCAGAATGGAGTGTCTGTAAACAGATCCACAAGTCTGTTACGATGCTTAGCTTCTCGAGGAGTGTTCACTTCAGCATGGGGTAGGAAAGCTTGATGTGGTCTGGGTAGTAAGCTGACTAAGTGAGTGGTGTGTTGTATAAGCGTGCTCTTTGCAGCTCTGTATAATGCAGATTCAGAAGATGTAATACCTCCCAAAGGAGAATCAGGAGTGGAATTAGGAGAGAAACAGTTATCTGCTGCAAGAGTAAGTTCTGCTCCATATGATAAGGACTCCATTAATATTGACAGGTGAAACTCCTAATAGAAAAATAATTATACTATAAAGTTTAGGGTTATGTTTTAGAAAAATTACATCAACAATCAAATTTCTAGAACTATACAACCTAAAAAACTTTCCTTTATTCTGAAATCTGAAAAGAAAAAAAAAATAGAGAAAATGATAAAATGTACAGCTATCATTACGTGTTTTTTAATCACATGAAAAAAATTGTAAAATAAATATTTCTATACATACTTATCATTTAGAAATTCTCATAATTTTTGGTTAATTTATGTAAAAATACTGAAAAACATGCAGCAATATTTATAATCACAATACTGTTCACAAATTACACAAAAAATCCAAACAAAGTATTTTCAGACCAAACAATTTTGCAGTGTTTTTTGTTAGAAGCATGAAGCAATTACAATAATAATAGGTTTTATGAATTAAGAAATTCATTTCTGATTCTTTAAAAAATTTCACATTTTCAAGAGTACCTTTACTTTAGCACC